GCCTCCTCCCAGAGCGCCGTGTCACCCCTAGGAGGGGTGAGCGTGGTGGCTGCTAATGCGGTTGTGCTGCCATTCCCGCTTCTCAGGTCTTCGCACTTGCAGGCTATTGCTTTCCAGCAGGTTAGGCTTCTCCATTAACTCCCTACATCTGGCAGTGAATGCGGTGTAATGAGCCCCGGTGATAAAATCCAGGCTTTCTTGCTCCAAGAGCATCAGCCCATCCTACTTGAAATGAAAGGTAAGCACTTAATGTTTATTCATTGATTCTGGTAGAACTATGTGCTTTTCAAGCAGAAAATGCAAGATACTCCCAATCAACTGAATCATCAATCCATGGGCAAAGAGCTGAGGAGATAAAAAATGCTAACCAATCATGACTGGTAGGAGCATGTTAATGGAGACGGGATTTATCTTCTCCCCTAAAGCGTTCCTGGTTAACCCTAACTTGCTATCCCTTTAGCAATTAGTGGTGTCATGCTTGTAAAGCACAGACGAGGAGTTCAGATCCGTCCAATATACAATTACTATCCTCAAAACGATTCTCATGAAACACCTCAGACTGCTAAACACACAACATGTCTGACAAATAAAAAAGAAATTAATTAAAGGGTGAGCAATGTAACACTTCATACCCTCTGGCCAAATGCATGGAAGCGCATACGTTTGCCATTTACATATGTCTCACAGAGGCGTATCACTACCGTAATTTTGTTCTACTTTAATCCCTCTGCATACAGCCATTCATTGCAATGTTTTCTCACCAAACCGAGAGTTTTTACCTGAAGGATATAATAATCAGCTGTTTTGCAAGAAGACTTTCTCATGAAAGCATGCAAAAAAGGAGTTAGGAGCTATGGGAAACATCTCTGTGAGTTATGGTGATGAGACATGGTCTCATGCCCCATCCCTTCTCGGTATCTGTATGTGTCTTGGATGCCGCAAGACTTGTTCCCAATGAAGATATATCTAGAGGAGCAGGAACTCAGCAAAACTGAGGTTGCTGTTCCAGGCAGCTGGGGTGCCAGACACCCGAGCTTAAAGCAGGAAGGTTGCCCATCCTGTGTTCTCAATGTGCTCTCTCTGCTAGTGTCCAAACAGGAAACATTTGGGTGTAGATAGTGAGAAACACTATATACAAACCAAATCAATAATTTTGATCCCAGGCCCCAACAAGGCTATAAGGCATGGACCACGACCATGAACTTGGCACATTCAGTGCAAGTGTCAGAATTACAAATTCTCTGGAAAGTATCTTTTCCATGTGTATCAGCCTCATGTCCTCGCGTCAGTGAGCCTCTACGCCATTGTCATAAGAAATCATGCCTAATATACCCCGCATGATAGCATGGACATTTGGTATTGAGTTTGTTGTCTCTTTCCCCAGGTCTTTTACCATCTTTGCCCAGCTTTTTATGAGAAGCTACCAAGGACAAGGCATGAAGGAGAGCGTATAGAAGAGGAGGCTCCAATTTGCAAAAGGCAGGGAACTGGAAAGCGGGTGAGAAGACGACAGTTAGAAAGGTGAGGGGAAGCTATGAGATGCCCTAGTTGAAGGGGGCAGCAGAGAGTTACAGGGTCAACACAGTGTGTGTCTGTAACAATGTATGTACACTGGGAGCTAGGAGTTATGGGCAATTGATACAGGATTCAAAATGATGCAAGAGTAATCCATGAACAGCAGAGTTAAGGACAAATAGGATTTTTGAACTTGGTGAAACTTGCAGAAACTTGGGAAAAAAGGAAGCTTAGTAATGGCTTCAGTCTGTTACTAGATGGAAATAGTAGAACGGTTAATAACGTAGAAAAGGCAGAAGAGCTCAATAACTATTTCTGGTCTGTATTTGGGGAAGAGCCAGATGATATACAAATATCATATGATGATGATGAAACACATTCCATTACAACAGGCACTGAGGAGGATGTTAAACAGAAGCTAATAAAGCTGGGCATCAGCAGGTCTAGGTAACTTACATCCAAAAGTAAAAGCACTGGCACAGAGTATCTTTAGACCATTAATGTTGATTTTCAATAAATTTTGGAACACTGTTAAAGTTCCAGAGGACTGGATGAAATATTGTACCAGTATTTTAAAAGGGTAAACAAGGTGACCAGGGTAATTACAACCTGCTAGCCTGACAAGAATTCTGGGTAATATAATGGGACATCATCTACATTACTTGATTAAAAAAGAATTAAAGGATGGAAATACAATAAATGTGAATTAATGTGGAAAATAAATCTTGCAAAAATAATTTGATTTTGTAATGGCATTACAAGTTCGGTTGATCAAGGTAAGTAGGTCTGCAAAATACTTGTTTTGGTAACTTGCAGCATTTTAATTAAGAAGCCAGAATGATACAGACTCATCACAGCACATATTAAACTGTTCAAAGTCTGGCTAACTGACAGTTACAAAGTGGGGAAATAAGAAGTCATCATCAAAGAATGTGTTTCTGGGTCCTGCAGCAATTAGTTCTACACTATATCGTATTGATATTAATGGCCCTAAGGAAAGCATAAAATCATCACTTACAAAGTTTTCAAGTGAGGTAAGCAATAGGGAGTCATAAATAACAAGTCATGATGTAAAGTATCTGAGGCAGCTTGATAACAAGTAATACGCATTTCTGTACAGCCAAATGTAAAAATATGCACCAAAGAATAAAGACAGTGATTATAGGATGAGAGAATTTGTGCTCTAACAAGTTAATGCTCAAAAACCTCGAGAGTCATTGCATATAATCAGGAGAAAATGAGCAGGTGGTGTGGTGCTGTGGCCACCAGGCTAAAGCAACCCTTGGTTTTATAAACAGGAGAATATAGAAAGAGGTCTTTATTTATTTTTCTGGTACTAGTCCAACCACTCCTGAAGTCTGATATCCAAATTCCTTAACTCCTTAATAGAAGCTGAAAAAGAGATGGTTCATAGAAGACAAATAAGAATGATTTAGATTGAAAGTGAAAATGTTCAGTCTATTTCAGTGTCAAAAAAAGAAGGTGAAGGGGTCACTCAATCACAGGTTTTAAGTACTTCCAAAATTCAGTGACCATATGCTAAAGGCAGATGTATTCAGCTTCCTGGTGAGGTCTTCTGCCAGGGAAGGTAATTAATCACTGGGACACTTGGGGGAGGAACAAGTTAGATTTCCCAGTGCCGGAAATGCCAAAATCAAAATCAGGTGCTTTTAAAAACTGTATTTTAACACAAGCAGGGTTTCAGTCCTGTAAGTCTGTTACCCATGAGATAGAACTATGTGACCATAGCTGTGGATTCTGGGGTATGCAGAAGTTGATTTCCTTGGGCACTGAGAAGTAACAACCTGCCATCCATTTCAGCAGCATCTGACACAGATCATGTGTTCTTGAGCACATGACGGGAGCAGCCCTGTGGATGGTAATGTTTACATTGCTTGAAGGGATGGGTGGACTTGTTCACAGAAGGCAAATCCTTTGAAGCATATTGCATACGAAGATAACTTTTCTCACTCAAGAAGCCTGAGACATACATTGCTGGAAGCTGGGAGGTTACTCCTGACAAGTGTGACTATATGATTATCCTGCTACTAAACTTTTCCTTGGCATCTGCTTCTGGCCACTGTCATAGGCAGGATACCAATCTTTCTCATGCCAAGAGTCTCTCAGCTCCATACCAAAGCTGACCCTGATCTCTGAACAGCAGAGTGGGAGTTTTAGTGGAGCAGAAAATAGATGCTTGATAATAAATAGGCATAGGAGAGGGCAGGAACGAGGGCAGAGAAGAGCAGGAACACTTAATATTAGAAGGTTGAAGACTCACTTGGTTAGAGGATTGTACATGAGGCTCTAGAGCTCTCCAGAATCTGGCGTTGATCAAAATATACAGGAGTCTCCTGGTCTGATCTGGTATCATCAGTTAGGAAACCTTGCAGCAAAGTGTTCATTACTTTCCCAATGTAGTTCCTGATAATATTCAGCCTTCTACTGATATGCAAGATCTCAAGTAGAAAAGGCTTGTGCTGTCAACTTAAGCGTCCAAACCTCTTGGGTGACTGAAGCTTTTATTCACAGTTCCATGGAATAAAATGGTGGCTTTTTTTCTGTACAGTTGCTAGTAACTGCTTGCATATCACACTCTGACAGAAACAATACGATGAATGTTCATTACTACCACCACTTTCTGTTGTAAAAAAACAGCTTTCTGATGATACCTTTCCAAAGGCACCAAGAGACCTGCAGTGAAGGTTACAATGTCGTGATTTTGCCCTCTTGTGGCTGAGTAGTCCAGCTCCTGTGGCGTCTGTCTTACTACATCTTTATTACCTCATCAGCCTTGAATGTTTGATATTTCTAAATTTTGTGCAGGCTTCATCCATTATAGTCAAGTACTACCTGCCCCAGAACAATCTGAATCAATAAAAATGCTTGGCTAAAAATCCTCAGAATCCTATATTAAGGTTAACTCAGTGTTTAGTGAGTCATAGAATAAAATCACTAATACATGGGCACTTAATTAATATATGATGGATTTTCCACTAGAAATTACTTAATCTCTAGAAAAGAAAAAGACCTGATAGGTCACTGTCTTGATGCATAGTTCAATTTAGAGTCATTCTATCCTGAATACCTCATCTTATTTTGCCCAGTTTAAATTTTAAACATGCTGTGCACTCTTAGGAGTAAAAAAAAAGAAGGCATTTTAATCCTTGACAACAGTAAACTCACATAGGTTATGCATTTAAAAGGGAACATAACTGCTGTACTGTCTATGCTGGCTATATCTTGAAACATCCAT